CAGTCCGATGCCGCATGGAAGATACAAAGAACTGTGCAGAAGTTAGGTTAAAAAATATTGTTTATTTAAAAGTAAATTAAGAGGGGAAGAGAAGATCCACCTTCCCAAGGTGGGGGAGGGTGCCAAAACCAGGAAGCATGGCGGCAGCCGTAGGTCAAAGAGTATATGGCCACGCCAGAGTCCGGCAAGGCAATGGCCCACGGCTGCTTGTAGTTGAGTCCTTTTAACCATTCTCCTTGATGGGGAAGATCATTAAGGTGATTGGGTGGTGGTCTGCTCCACGTCATCATGAAGGGGCAGGCAAGCGCAGGTACTGAGGTCAGGTGATGGACAGCAGACATGTGGGTGGGTTAGTCACATGACTGCTGCCATGGTAGGGTCTGTCTGAGTCCCGTAGGTTAACTTGGGGGGAGGGGGTTTAACTTGGGGGAGTTTGGTCCTGGATGGGTTTTTCCTGAAAGAGACTTGTTAGACCTTTGCAATCCACAAACTCCTTGACCAAAGGCAGGTTGTATTATCACTTTTATGGCTCTTTCCTTGTCTTGCACCTGGTGGAGGGATAGGCTAGAGGGGGTGGAATAGGCTGCCACTTAGCCTGCAGTAGAATGTCTGAATGCTTGCTTTCTTTTTCTTTTTTTTTGAGTTGGAGTCTCACTCTGTTGCCCAGACTGGAGTGCAGTGGCCACTCCCGGCTACCCCAGTCTCGACCTGCTGGGCTCCGACGATTCTTCCGCCTCAGCCTTCTAAGTAGCTGGAACTACAGGCGCGCGCTACCACACTCGGCTAGTTTTTTTGATTTATTGTAGAGATGAGGTCTCATCAAGTTGCTCAGGCGGGTTTCGAACCCGCGGGCTCAGGCAGTCCACTCACCTCAGCCTTCCAAGGCGAGGGATGACAGACTGAGCCCGGCACTGAATGCTTTCTAATGGCTATGGTGAGGCAAGTACCACCTTTCATTAAGACTTTGACCTAAAAGTTCATTTCATTTCTGATTTAAAAAGAAGTGAAAATGGCTGGGGTTGGGTGACTCAGCCAGTAATCCCAGCACTTTAGGAGATCCCAAGGCGAATGGATTGCCTGAGCCTGTGGGTTCAAAACCAGCCTAGGCAACCAGGTGAGACCTCGTCTCTGCAATAAATCAAAAACTAGCCAGGCATGGTAGCGTGCTCCTGTAGTTCTGGCTACTTGGAAGGCCCGCCAGAGCCTAGCAGGTTGACACTGGGGTGGCCGTGAATGTGCCACTGCACTCTAACCTGGGCAACAGAGTGAGACTCCAACTCAAAAAAAAAAAAAAAAAAAAATGAAAACATTTTCGAGGTCCCTAGTCGCTCTGTCTGCAGTGCCTAATAGACAAGTTGGTCTGACCTGAAGCCTCCAGGCCTGAATGCACATTTATCTGCACCTGCCCTTTTCTTTTGTCAAATACTTTCCCAGAGTTTGCAGAGGATTTTGAGGATTAAACATTGGGTTAACCTCTAGGACTCAGCCAAAGGATGCTTTGCGGTACAAGTGCCTGGGAGAGCTTCGGGGAGAGAGAGCGGCAGGCTGCAGCTGGGATACCAATGCCAGGGAGACTCCTGCATCCTGCCCCAAGAAGCTGGGAATGCAAGGGTGGTGGTGGGGTCGTAGAGGGGAGAAGGATGTCGTTGAACTTGATCTGCTTTAAGTGAGGCTGGAGTCATTTCAGCAATGGGCTGGAAATTTCCAGGCCCTGGGATAAGCGTGACTCTAGAACGATGATTCTCACCCTGGGGTGATTTTGCCTCCCAGGGGCCATTTGGCAACTGGATGAAGGTTGTCCCAAGTTGTGACTGTCCCAACTTGAGGAGGGGGCGTCTGGCATCCGGGTGGTAGAGGCCAGGGATGCTGCTCAATATCTCAAATACACAGGCAATCCCCCTGCAACCGAGACTGATTCCATCCCAGTGTTAGCGGTGCTGAGGCAGGGAGATCCTGATCCCAGAGGCTATTCCAGGCCTTGGGTTCGGATGAACAGAGTCCTCCCCAAAGCTCCAAAGATTACACATGATTCAATCCGAGAACGTGAAATCATAGCCATCATGGAGACCCGCCATCTTAATCCGAAAGGGCAGAGACAGGTGAACTTCTGAGAGTCGCAGGTTTCATGCTCGTAAAATGGAAGGTACGAGCAATGGTAGCAGTGTGCTGCACCAGCAGATTCCCAGAGCCTGCGTCTTCTCTGACTACCATGTGAGCAGAATGTGGTCTTGAGTCTGGAAGAGGTGTTGAAGCTCCGCCTTTGAAGCTTGATCTTGGGTACAGACATCATGGGGGCGGGGTGGGCTGACCTGGAGGCGCCCTTTTAATTTCTCCCTCATTTTGATCCTGAGTGGCTGAGATGGAGGAGACAAAGGACTCTCCTCTCCCCTTGCACTGCAGACAGAGTAGAAAAGGGCTTTTCCAGCCATCCTGTTTTCCTATTGTGTCTACAGGGGGTGGGGGCAGGGACCCTGAGGTCCCACCCGCATCCAGGGGCAGAGAAGCCTAAGGACGGAGACAGGGAGACTGGGGACGAGACCTGCTGTGTCAGATGGACGGTTCCCTGGGTCTGACCATTCCTCCTTGCTGTCCAGATTTGTCTCGCCTCAGACTTCTCACCCCCATCGCTGTGGAGGGAAGGGGTATCTTCATGAGCAGTACAGGGTTGACCCCTGTACTGCTCAGTCCCAGAGGCTGGCCAGGTGTGGACCTGGTGGCACTGACGAAATCTGTGCAGCATGACAGATGGTCCCTGTCTGGGAAATCTGGCAGGCTGCTGTGTGAGGGCATACACGGCATACTTCCCCAGGGCTCCCTGGATCTCTGCTTTGCTCCCGGAGCGCCAAGAAAAAGGTGGGATGGGTGAAGAGCCTTCCGGATGGTGGCTGGGTTTGATTCAACATGGTGGAACTGGACTTCCACCCAGCCTGGAGGCAAATGCTACATCTGCCGTTTCCTGTCAGTAGTGCTGGGCTGCTGGAACAGAATTTAATCTGTGCTTGCTTCATTTATGGTAAAACCCAATCCCTAGAGCCCCTGAGGGAATAACCATTCTAGATAAAAGGACTTACCAGGTTTCTAAGGTTTATGCATTTAAATATTTCAAGTTTTATTTTTGTGAGTTTTAACCATTTTGGGTAGATGTTTTTTTAAATGTGAGTGAGGTATTGTGAAATTCTAACGCGTCTTCCCCTTTTTAGCATCCCAAGGTCATCGACAGCCGTTCTTGTTTTGGGCTATGAGACATGGCCATCCTCAGGGTCAGTGAGGGGTGTGGCATCGTTTGCTGTGCACAAAATGTCCCTGGAGTTCTTCTGTTTGGTTTTGTCAGTGTCCTCTTTCCTCCTTGCCATTTGATACTTCTTGCCCTGTCCACACGCATTCCTTCTTTTTCCTTGTAATTTTGTTGATTTTCCTCTGCGGTGGCCTTGGAAGCCAGACATCCAGAAATCGGGCTAACTGGAGCAATACTGTTGTGAAGCGGCGAGGTTCTTCGTGGGCTGACACTCTCCTCGTCTTGGTGGAAAATGCCAACATTTAAAAATGCGCAGACTTGGTGACAGTTATTAGGATGCCTGGAAGCTCGTTTTCCTTTGTTTCCTGATTCTGGGTGGGATTCCGCGTTGCTGAAGTAGCAGATAACTGAGGCAACCATCATCTCAACGTCAGCAGCAGCAACTGGCCAGGCGCGGTGGCTCACGCCTGTAATGCCAGCGCTTTGGGAGGCCGAGGTGAGAGGATTGCCTGAGCTCGCAGGTTCGAGACCAGCCTGGGCAACTTGGCGAGACCTCTTCTCTACAATTCAAAAAAAAGCCGGGCTTGGTGGCTCAACCTGTAATCCCGCGCCTTTGGGAGGCTGAGGTGAGTGGACTGCCTGAGCCCGCGGGTTCGAGACCCGCCTGGGCAGGCGAGACCTCATCTCTACAATAAATCAAAAAATTAACTGGGCATGGTAGCGCCTGCCTGTAATTCCGGCTACTTGGAAGGCTGAGGCGGAAGAATTGCCAGAGCCCAGCAGTCGAGGCTGCGGTGGCCGGGAGCGGCCACTGCACTCTAGTCTGGGCGACAGAGTGAGACTCCAAATAAAAATAAAAAAAAAAAGTTAGCTGGGCATGGTGGCGCACACCTGTAGTTCGAGCTACTTGGAAGGCTGAGGTGGAAGGATCGCCTGAGCCCAGCAGGTCGAGGCTGTGGTGGCTGTGAGCTTGCCACTGCATTCTAGGCTGGGCAATGGCGTGAGACTGACTCAAAAAAAAGAAGCAGAGGCCCAGTAGTGATGTGCAGGGGAAACACAGCTCATAGAGGAAGTTTTAACCAGAGATTTAACCAGAGCATGCCCTCTGGCCTGGCGCTGCTACCCTGGAGAAACATGCTTTGTGGCTAGTGAGTACCGACCAGGCCCAGTGGGAGGGGAAAGGATGGGGCAGACCTTGTTGAATGCCCCCATATGCTGGGGACCATGCCGGACGCTCCTGATGGTAGGTGCTCTAGTGCCCGCACCTGGTGCCCTGCCTGGTGAGGAGGAGATGCCCCTCCCTTAGCGAGTGACAGCGTGAACACCCTCGTTTAGAAGTATTTGGAGAGTCATTCATTTGGTGTTATCGGGACTGTAAGTTTTTGCAGGTGCATTGAAGGGGAAAGAGAACATGTACAAGACTTGTTGAAAAACACCCCCTGTGCACCCACCCAGATCTTGTTGGGACCTGCACGAGAGCGGTTCTGGGCGCTGTGGTCTGGGGCTGTTTGCTCGGCTGTGTCTCCAAGGGGCGGAGGCTGGGTGGTTTGATTCCCCGCCCTTCCCGAGCTTGCTGGGGCTTGTCTCTCCTGTACCATTTGGGTCCTCTCCCCTCCCTTGGCTGGACGTGCCCCAGCTGGAGTGAGACCGTGGTAGGTTGGCGCTGCTCTCAGGGCCCCCTTTGCCAGGGCTCTGTGCAGCAAAAGGTAAGAAAGTCTAAAGAGGCTGATCAGTTGCTCCTTGGACCAGCATCTCGAGGGGCTCCATGCCCTGCAGTCAGTGCAAACTACAGTGTTGAGGAACGTGTGAGTGTAATGGACTTGGAAACCGGTAAACATCCATGGGGCGGATCTGGAGCAGCCCAGGAGCAGCACTGTGGGCCCTTGGAGGTGGGGCAGGTTGGCCCATGCGGGGTGACAGCAGGGAGTGCTGGAGACCGGATTCTGGATACAACGTGGCTCTCTGGCTTCTCACTCCCTCGCCAGACACGCCTCGGCCCAGGGATCTCTGGTGTGAGTTGAGTTGGAGTCTCACTCTGTCGCCCGGGGTGGAGTGCATCCGCTGGGCTCTGGCAATCCTTCCACCTCAGCCTTCCAAGTAGTTGGAACTATAGGCGTGTGCTACCATGCCTGGCTAATTTTTGATTTATTGTAGAGACGAGGTCTCACCAAGTTGCCTGGATGGGTCTCGAACCCGCGGGCTCAGGCAATCCACTCGCCTCGGCCTCCCAAAGTGCTGGGATTACAGGCTGAGCCACCGAGCCCGGCCGGCGTGAGTTTTTAAAACTCACCGAATCAATGCCCTTCTAGACCATACATAACAGAGAACTTAAACCGGGGGTTAGAGGTGGGTGAATCTGCCATTTCCTGGTAAGGGCTTTGCCAACCCCTTCATCCCCCTGTGCTCCTTTGCTCTGCCCCAACCTCGTGGAATGGAGGCAGAATAGATCAGCTGTCCCTGTCATTTTTCAGGCGTCAGACAGCCCTGAGTTCAAATCCTGAATCCGCCCGGGCCCTGTGGCTCATGCCTATAATCCCAGCACTTTGGGAGGCCGAGGAGAGAGGATTGCCTGAGCCCACGGATTCAAGACCAGCCTGGGCAACTTGGCGAGACCTCATCTCTACAGTAAATCAAAAATTAGGCCAGTCTCGGTGTCTCAGCCTGTAATCCCAGCACTTTGGGAGGCTGAGGCGAGTGGATTGCCTGAGCCTGCAGGTTCGAGACTGGCCTGGGCAACTTGGTGAGACCTCGTCTATACAAAAAAAAAAAATTAGCTGGGCATGGTAGCACGCACCTGTAGTTTCGGCTACTTGGTAGACTGAGGCAGAAGGATCGCCGGAGCCCTGCAGGTCATCACTGGGGTGGCTATGAGTGTGCCACTGCCCTCCAACCTGGGTGACAGAGTGAGACTCCAACTAAAAATAAAAGTTAGCTGAGCGTGATGGCTGTTGCCTGTAGTTCCAGCTACTTGGAAGGCTGAGGCGGAAGGATCACCTGAGCCCAGCAGGTCGAGGTTGTGGGGGCCATGAGCAGTGTGCCACCACCCTTCAGCCTGGGCGACAGAGTGAGACTCCAACTCCAAACAAAAACAAAAAACTCCTGAATCAGGGATTTGTGATTTTGGTCAAAGAGCGAGTGACCGCTATGAACCTCAAATTCTCCACTTCTCCATCTGTATGACTTGGGGGTGGGAGCTACTAGTACCCTCCTAAGAGTTGCTGTAAGACCGAAACTGACCATCCAGGTAAACTGCTCATCCCAGACCCAGGCATGGTGTCAGTACTCATGCAGAGTCATCATAGTCTGGCTACGCGTCATGATTTGGGGTCCAAGGGCCCCCCAGAGGACTGGTCTCTCTGAGAAACTGAACCTGGAGCTCCCATTCCCTTCTTCTCTCTGCAGACAATGGCGATGACCACTCTGAGGGAGGCCTGGTGGAAAACCACGTGGACGGCACCATGAACATGCTGGGCGGAGGAGGTGGCGCCGGCCGGAAGCCCCTCAAGTCGGGCATGAAGGAGCTGGCTGTGTTCCGGGAGAAGGTCACGGAGCAGCACCGGCAGATGGGCAAGGGTGGCAAGCACCACCTTGGGCTGGAGGAGCCCAAGAAGCTGCGGCCGCCGCCCGCCAGGGTCAGTGGGAGTCAGGTCTGGGTGGCGGGCGAGGGAGGACTTGGAAAGGGAGTCTCAGCTGGGGGAGGTTGCCCCAATAATACCCTCATCCTGTGGTGCCTGGGGACAAAGCACTTTTCTCTCCAGTTCCGCCACCAACATAATCCGTGACCTTCTGGGCAGTGAGTGTCTCTGGCTGTGAAATGGACTGGACATACGCCATGTGTTTTATTTAGTTTTCCGGAGAGTGTCTTGCTCTGGTCACCCAGGCTGAGTGCGGTGGTGTGATCATAGCTCACTGTGATCTTGACCTTCTGTGTTCAAGTGATCCTTCCCACCTCAGCCTTCTGAATTAGCTGGGACTACAGGTGCACACCACCATGCCTGGCTAATTTTTACATTTTTTGTAGAGATGGGATCTTGCTATGTTGCCCAGACTGGTCTGGAACTTCTGAGCTCAAGTGATTCTCCTGCCTCAGACTCCAAAAGTGCTGGGATTACAGGTGTGAACCACTGTGCCTGGCCAGGACATATGTCTTGAAGTTCCCTCCTTCTGAAGCTTCTATATTAATATGTGGTTTCGAGACATAGACAAAGAAAACGAGTCCCAGAGATGAAGATTGACTCCCTGAAACGTGCTCACTCTTGATGCCACGTGCTTCCCTCACTGAGATTCCCCCTTTCCTCTTTCCCACTCAGCTCTGCTGTCTCAGGTCTGGGCCCCAGCTGGCTTTATGGGAAGGAATCGAGTGTGGGCCTTTGGCTTGGGGTATGGATACCCTGGTGACAGCCACTTGACCCAGGGCTTGCAAGAGTCCACCTTGACCCATCAAAACCATTGGTACAGAGCAAGGAGACGAGTGAACACACAGGTCCCAGCCGGGTGTAGGGGCTCACACCTGTAATCCTGGTACTTTGGGAGGCAGAGGTGAGAGGATTGCCTGAGACCAGGGGTTCGAAACCAGCTTGGGCTACTTGGCAAGATCTCATTTCTACAAATAAATAAATAAATGAATTTAGCTGGACGTGGTGTTGCATGCCTGTGGTTGTAGCTACTTGGGAGGCTGAGGTGGAAGGATCACCTGAGCCCAGCAGGTTGAGGCTGTGGTGGTTGTGAGCGTACCACTGTACACCAGCCTGGGTGACAGAGTGAGACTCCACCTAAAACAAACAAAACAAACCAAAAAACACATGCCCTGCAGTTTTCTCTAGAGGTGGGGTTGGGTGAGTGAGATATCCCTGGCAGGAGTCAGAAGTCCCTGGTCCGTGGGAAGTCCCTCTCTGAGGAGTTTCCCTCTGAGGTGCTGGTGGGTTGTTCTTACTCCCTGCGTCCTCTCCCGTCTGTTTGCAGACCCCCTGCCAGCAGGAGCTGGACCAGGTCCTGGAGCGGATCTCGACCATGCGCCTTCCGGATGAACGGGGTCCCTTGGAGCACCTCTACTCCCTGCACATCCCCAATTGCGACAAGCATGGCCTGTACAACCTCAAACAGGTGGGCGAGGGTGCCAGGCTGGGTGGGAGCTGGGCGAACCTTGCTTCGGCCCCACCCGCCTGTGGCTCCCCGAGGACCGAGGTCTGAGCTGAACAGAGGCTCCGGCTTCTGGAACCACAGAGATGGCAGGGGTTTCCCTCCCTGGCCCCAGGCGGGTCAGAGCTGACTCCACCCACCGAGCCCTGCATCGAGCCACCTGTGGCCACCTGTGGCCGGTTGGGAGGGAAGGAGCTTAAGCCCATGCTGCTGGGCCTGAGCTGCACCTGGGGCTCTCCTGGACTTGCTCCCAGAACTGCCATGAAGTAGGTGGTATGGGGACAAGAGTTGGCCATTCTAACAAGCTCCCGGGTGATGCTTGCACCCAGGACTACACTGCTCAGAATCACTGATTTCAGCCATTGGCCACGTAGCCTCTGGCTTGCAGGTATCTCAGGGAATGGAGCATCAGGGGTGGAGAAATGCCTCCGAGATGATTTCTGCATTCATCCCAGAACAACATTCTAATCACATCGGAGAAGACGAGCAGAGTTTAAACCACCAGAGCTGTTTGTCCTTCCAGCTCTGTTCATTCGGTGCATAAGCAATATTTTCCCATGACATTATCCATATTTTTTTGCATAGCCACAGGCTTGGCAGTGATGACACACGGATCGGCTGTCTTTTCGCTCAGCTCACCTGTCACCTCCTCCACCTCCCTGTACATGTGCACTTCCCGTCAGGCAGGGGGAAGGAATGAGAGGGAGAAGGGGGATGGTGTGGCCGCCAGCTGTCATCCTGTTTTCAAGCAGAGGTTCCCAGCCCTGGCCGCATACTGGGGTGTTCTAAGGAGCTTGAGAAAAGATTGATGCCAGGGTCTCACTCCCAGAGATTTCTGATTTTGCGGGTCTGGAGTGCTTTCTGGGCATTAGGATATTAGAAAGCTCCACTGGTGGTCCTAACAGGCAGTTAGGGCTGACCTAAAGGGTGGATATTTGAGTGAGGAAATGGAATTCAGGATTCTGCTGACCCTTGGGGTCATTTCCTCCACCACAGAGCACCTTGTCCCTCTAAAAACTAGTCCAACATTAAGCTATTTTTTTCTTTGAGTTGGATCTTATTCTGTTGCCCAGCGTGCAGTGGCACGCTCACGGCCACCGAAGCCTTGACCTCCTGGGCTCCGGCGATCCTTCCTCCTCAGGCTTCCAAGTAGCTGGAACCACAGGTGCTCATCACCACGCCCTGCTAATTTTTTGGTTTACTGAAGAGGCGAAGTCTCCTCAAGTTGCCCAGGCTGGTCTCGAACCCCTGGGCTCAGGCAGTCCTCTTGCCTCGGCCTCCCAAAGTGCTGGGATTACAGGCATGAGCCGTTGCGTCCAGCACATTAAGCTCTTTGTACACATGCCCTCTAAATGGAAGCCGGTGACTTCGTTTGGAGCTCAGAGGAAAGGAATCCTGATCTCACGGAAAACAGGCAGGCAGTGTGCTGTGTGGGGAAACTCAGGTGATTTGCAGGCATGATTAGCACATGGATAAGAACAGGGACTCTGGAACCGGAATTCCTGGCTTCCTATCTCAGCTAAGTCTCTTACTAGCTATGTGTAGCTTGGGGCAAGTGGTCCAGCCAAACTATGCTTCTATCTCCTCATCTGTGAAGTGGGGATAATAATGGTTCCTCATTCACAAAGCAGGTGTGAGGAGTCCATAAATATACTTGTTAGGTCTAATCGGAATGAGCAGTGTGTTGTGTCTCTTGGTCACACAGTGCCTAACATAGGTGACTTTCATTGTGACGTGAGGTTTCTCGCTTCATACTGGCTGAACTCCCGTATGCCGGCTCCCCTGCTGGAGGGGACCTCCTTGAGGCTGGGGGCTGAGTCTTTTCATCTTTGGGCCTCCCCAGTGGCCTCGCCGATTAGCGCGGCGTCCGTATCCCACGGGAGCGCGTTGGCCATGCAGGAGCTCCCAAGTGGGCACTTGCGCTTTTGTCTGTTTGATTTTGAGTTAAGGGTCTCACTCTGCCACCCAGGCTGGAGTGCAGGGGTGTAATCATGGCTTACCGCAGCCTCAAACTCTTGGGCTCAAGGGATCCTTCTGCCTCCGCCTCTCAAGTACCTGGGACGACGGGCGCACGCCACCGTGCCTGGCTAATTTTTTTATTTTTATTTTTTTGGTAAAAACAAGGTTTCACTCTGTGGCCCCGGTCTCAAGCAATCTTTCTGCCTCGCCTTCCCAAGGTGCTGGGGTTACAGGCGTGAGCCACCGTGCCCAGCCTGAAATCTGCAGAGGGAGTCGAAGGTTGAGAGGCTGCGCCCTGAGCGCCAGCGAGGTCAGCACAGGGCAGTTGCTCACAACACGCTTGGCTGATGGCACCAGGAGGGGCTGTTGGCTGCAGGAGTGAGTTCCCGGCTCTCTCTTCTCTCTCCTCAGTGCAAGATGTCTCTGAATGGGCAGCGCGGGGAGTGCTGGTGTGTGAACCCCAACACCGGGAAGCTGATCCAGGGAGCCCCCACCATCCGGGGGGACCCCGAGTGTCACCTCTTTACAACGAGCAGCAGGAGGTTCGCGGGGGTGCACACTCAGCGGATACAGTAGACCCCAGCCCGCCGGTGCCTGGCGCCCCGCCCCCCCCCACACAGGCGGAAACGGAGAGTGCTCGGGTGGCAGGTGGCGGGGGATTTTCCAGGAGTTCTGACACGTGTATTTATATTTGGGAAGAGACGGGCACCGAGCTCGGCACCCCCCTGCCCGCCCCCCCCCCACTGGAGATGCTGTCCCCTCCCCTTCTTGCCTCCCCTGGAGAGGAAGGGGGCTTGCCATGGGGGAGTCGGGGTGGAAGCTTGGGAGGGGGGAAAAGAAATTTTTATTTTTGAACCCCTGTGTGTCTTTTGCTTAAGATTAAAGGAAGGAAAATAAAGTGTGTGTCTCTTGCCTGAGTCTCTGGGCCTCCCTGGGAAGGAGATCTGAGGCTGCCTGAGCCTCCTTTTACCCGGCTTTGCCCCTGGCTCCTGGGAAATGGGAAAGGTTCCGCCTCGGTGTCCCAACCGGGAAACGGGAAGAAGGAAGGGGCAGGATGCAGGGGCATCTCCTGGGTCCAGACCAAGCCTTCCAGTGCAGCCTTGGGCATCTGTGGTCTCCCTGCCTGGACTCCCCGGGGAAGCTTCAGCCCCCTTTGGCCCCTGTCTTGCCCTCCACAGGTGGGATCGATCATGGCAGGGGGAGGGGAGGAGGGAGAACACAGGTCATCCATCCTCTCTCCTGCCTCCAGATGACACCTGACACTGCAGAGGGAGGCTGTTAGGGTCCGAGTAACTGCTCCGCTGTTCTCTCTCGATACCAACACATCAAAGGGACGGGGAACTGGTGCCAAGAAGTTTATTTCTGAGTTCAAATCCAAGGAGCAGAGCCAGACTCAAGTTCTTTTATTTTGTTTTTGTTTTTGTTTTTTTTTGAGTTGGAATCTCACTCTGTCGCCCAGACTGGAGTGCAGTGGCCGCTCCCAGCCACCGCAGCCTTG